ACACGCACACGCACACGCACACGCACACGCACACGCACACGCACACGCACACACGCACACACATAAACGCGCGCGCGCGTACACTAACGTATGCACGCACACACACATACAATCATCGTTAAAACAATAATTAAAAGAAAGTTTCATGCACATTACCTCATCTATCCCTTCAGGTAAATCACCACTCGATATTGCCTAGAAAGATAACATAATAACAAAATATAAATAATTAAACCAACCAAACATAATTAAGCATTCATATTAATAATGTCCAAAACATACTATAAATCATTCACTATTCATAATTTGATCACAATCAAATAATCTAAAATAAAGTCTCAGAAAACGAATAAACAACGATAACAGTACAACAAAGAAGAACCGTATAATTTTATCGGATTGATAAACTGGTGTGCGTTGTTGATTGCTGAGTTGAGCAGTGTACTATAGCAGATTAATATGGAAATTTGTGTCCGTCTATCGGAATTCCACACAACACATATATAGCAGCAATTAGTCATGGATAAGACGTACACTAAGAATAGCAACTACGCTATACTTTTACATGCATAGCTGTGACAAATCACATACCAGTTTACAATTATATGCATTTGCGCATGTAAATATCAAACGTTTTATTGCCACTGAAAATTCTGTCCTACGCCATTGTTGAACATTTAGGTTATAGATTGATGCAAATTTCTGAAGTAAATTAAGCCTTGAAATTATTATTCAAATTGTAAGTTAATGCCACACGATCCTCCAGTCTTACTACTTTGATTAGTTTCGAGTGGAACATTTACTAGCGAAATATTTTAAAATTTTGTAGCGAAAGGTTTTATAGCGAACAGCAAGCCCACGTCTTTTGAGACATGCAGTTAACATTAAGTCGGGATGAATAAAAAACAAAGTCTAAAAATACATTATTTTGTGACGTAATTGACAGATATGGGCCATTATGTAAAGTAGGTTAATTTAAAGTTTTGTCGGTCCCAGAGGCAGGGCTATGACGCCGCCCCACACGTGGAGAAGTGTACGAGTATATAGCTAATCAGTAAGAGGAAGTAAATGCCCGAGGAAAAGCAGCCGAGAGAACAGCGGGTTGCTAAGACAACACAAATAAACGGGAACTACCACAAGCGGGCATGCGATACGTGATTCCTAAGCAATGCGCTTTACACCGCACTCCGCACATGCAACTGCGACAAATTTTCGGCCATTTACTAGCGGATAATATGCTAGTTTACTACTATCACTTTAGTTTATGAGATAAACTTTCAAGTGATGACGAAATTGACACCTGGCGAGAAGTAGCTATCAACCGGTCTTACCCAGAGATGTTCAGACAGTTCAGAGATATCATGATACATAAGAACATAATATAGCCCAAAAACCTCTCCAGCTTAACCCTTGCTGTGGTTGTATTTCAGACGCGCGCGTTCCTGTCATTTGTCAATGCTTGGTGAACGCCTGTGAACTATTGTGTGGGAGGGAATACAAACGCGCCGGTGCAGCAGGCAGCTGGCCAATTCTGAGCCCGTAAAATGGCGAACACATATAGCGAGAGCGTAAAATTTCGCGCTTCTATACAATCTTCCACCTACTAATGAATAGGCCAGGTGTTGGCGTTATAACTCCACCCCAACCAAGTGCTCACAAAGAGACAAATTGAGGCTTAGAAAAACGCACTCCTTCTTTGTTGGCCATTTGCGAATTTACCTGTGACTGAAAAGCATAATACAGTTTGATCCCAGGTGTTCCCATTATCTTCAACGTGACACGGCCTTTAGTTTAATTAAACTTAGATGTAACGATATATATTATATAATACTTTATGGCTGCTCGATTATATTAGTAAAATTATAAATACATTTATAACATGTTACATGTGCATATTACATATACAAGCGCAGTATGTTGTGTTATGTGTGTTTCTCCTTTGTTTCCCCCCCATCGAATATATTTACAGTGATCTGTTTATAACTGAATAAGGAAGGGGTCTGCATGTGTGCTCAACCCATGTGCTCTCTCACCACATTTCCCTCCTCTTCCTCTTCTTGACCTTCGACCTCCTCGGCTGAAACCCACTAAGCAAACATAAATCTCCAGTGTATGAAATAACACGTTCGTGAAAGAAACCAGCACGACCACCGCGTCAATAACCCGCACACCACACAGGACCAGCGGGCCCATGACCGGACCGCCTCCCTTAGCCGCCCGACACCGTCTGTAATGTTAGCCAAAAAAACAGAGCGGGAATAAATAACAAGTGAACACCTGTTTACGCTAAGCCGCGTGCGTCTTGTGCGCATGATGTCGCCTTGGTGGTAAAAAAGCTTTGGCAATTAAGTTCCCCTTGAGAATGCTCCCAGGTTACACGCGCACGAAGAGACCAGACATGAAGTTAAATTAAGGAGACATATATCTTCAGGGATTAGCTCATTCTGGGTGGTGGATGCAACAAATGGTTGTTGAGCGTCAAATTTCACCGATATAACACCTGTCTTTATTATATTAAAACAGCTACAACAACAACTTAGTCGATGTGAAAAACAATCTCTTTACTTTTGCTAACTTAAAACCAATACTGGCGGTAAAAACAAAGCCCACGAGCAAGGACCCTGTTCGTATTAGCATGTGACAAAAAAGAGAAATAACGTTAAAGCTATTTATACTACACTTAACAGTTGGCGGA